TCCTGGCAAGCTGTAGAGCCATTAACAAAGCTGCCAAGTTAAAGTGAATTGACAATTAAGAAGAGTCACCGCTCTGTGAAGAGCATAGTACTGCATTATACTGCAAGGCAGAGCATGTGCTGCATGTGCTCCACAAGCACAAGGAAATGGAGTATATGGAAGCGATTGCAGACTCTAGCTTACTATATAGAATGCACTCTATCCAATTACTTCTGCTGAGTAACCCTTCAGCTTTACTCTTCATTACAATAATGTGCAGTACAAACAGTGAGGAAAGGCAGATCACATTGTGTACCGTGGGAGCCATGGTGTACATTTAGCCACATCAATAAATATACAAAGGGTTCCAAATAAGAGAAATCACCATATATTTCCTTCCAACAAAATATTTAGCAATTAAATGTAATTGCAAAAAATTGTATATCACAGGTTTATTGTGACCATGATGTGTCACAGTACCAAGAACGTGTGTTCCAACTGCCCCCTGGAATTCTCACCGTTGTTCCTCTCCAGATGCATACAGCTTGTTAAGCACACTGACACAGCCTTCATCAACCGGGGGTCCGCCTGGCTTCGTCAGGGGTTTCGGAAAATTTTCACACAGCCTCATGCGTTTTCATGGTGCAGGCAGGCTGCCATCCCGACCTGTCCCCTTGAAATTCATACCAGACCTCCATCTAGGATAAGGGTGTAGTGTGAATTGGGGGTGGGGGGGTCATGCATGGCTTTTTATATTTTAGACTGGGGTTACTTGATATTTTGCATACTTTAAAGGATGAGAAAGGTGGAGAAAAGCTGCTTTAGAAAATGCAAACATACAGGTGAAACTCGAATAATTAGAATATCGTGCAAAAGTAATTGCAGTAAGTGCTGCAAAAGGGGCCCAAACCAAGTACATATGCATGCTTGTACTTTTCAGAGGTCCGATATTGTTCTATGTACAATCCTTGTTTTATTGATTGCATGTAATAATCTACTTTTTTGAGGTTGTGGATTTGGGGTTCTTGGGGTTTTCATGAGCTGTAAGCCATAATCATCACAATTATGACAAATCACGGCTTGAATTATCTTGCTTTGCATGTAATGAGTCTATCTCATATATTAGTTTCACCTTTTAAGTTGCATTAGTGAAATAAATGAACTTTGCACGATATTCTAATTATTCGAGTTTCACCTGTATACCGCTGCACACTAATGCAAACATATACCACTGTACACCTTCAGTCTGTCAATATATGCTGCAGCATTAATCTGTGCTACACACGCATACCAACCTTCTTCCACCAAACCTAAAAGGGCAATTGCCCTGAAACCATCAATCCACATCAGAGCATACACGATGCACAGAGTGGAATCTCTAAAGATGCATTTGATGTTTGTTCATAAATCCTAACTTATAAATCCTAACTTATATTTATATAATGCACTGAAGGTATTTTTGTGTACCAATAACCAAGACTAGGGCAAGAATGATAATGTGAATGAGAATGATTATACTGAATGATGTTTCCATAGGGCCCATTCACACATTCCAGTTTTGATTACATTTGAGTTGTCAGAGTAATGCACTGAAACTTGCTGCTCATGGTTTTCTATGGCCCTGGTCACATCAGTGCTCTGCAACCTTGTGGGATGTAAAATAAAACTGAATGCACTGCTGCCTGCAGATCCATGCAAACTACATTCTCCCATGGATGGATTTTACTGTCCCTGGGCCATGCTGAAAGATGCAGATTAGTTTTTACAACGGATTACCACTGCATTGTTGTGAATTCTTCTTTACAGAACCAGGTCCTAAAATGTAATTGTAAATAGGATATTTCCATGTGTAGTAGTTTAGTGTTCTTTTTTTACATGTATGTGGTTCAACTGAGTTTCTTATTAGTGTCCAACATAGAGAGCTTAAAAGGTGTACTCTGGACACATAAATACATTCCTTAATAACCACAAATGATAAAAACCCGCCTTTGTGTGCACCAAAGGCCTTTGCAAAACCAGATATCACCTGGTATAAGAAGTGGTGATATCATCACTGGGATGCACATGGCCTGCGCAGAGAACAGAGCTGTGTGGACTGCCTACCGAAAACTTCAGGAGGGGGGCGGAAACAAGACCAGTCACCCTGCACAAAGGAGAGAGAGAGCAGCAGAGATTGGTCTGTATTACAGGAAGTTCCTGAACAGAGACAAAATGTTCACACTGCACAGATCTGGAAGAACTACACAAGGTTCAAGTAAGAATGCACGTCTATTGTAATTAGACAATCTGTGCCTATTCTAGAGTTCTGCTTTGAAAGAAACCCATGCTGAGCAAACCCAGGGAGGTTTATTGCTGACCTCCTGAAAATGTCAGTTGGCTGGCACGAATATTATGTTAGTTGCACAGGGGCGTCCCGAGGCAGGGTGACACCCGGAGCGGTAACCGAGTGTCACCCTGCCGAGACGTCACTGCGCATGCGCGTGACGTCATCGCACGCGCGCGGCAGTATTCGTTCATTTTGGTGTCACCCCTCCAATGGTGTCACCCGGGTGCGGGCCGCACCCCCCTTTTGATGCCACTGTAGTTGCATGAGCTAATGACCTAGAACAACCATGCAGAAAATAGAGTCAGAACTCTAGATCTTCATGCTTGTTCCAGGTCACTAACACAGGCTTCCTCTAAATCAGGGGTGGACAAATCAACATGGAATTCAGGAGCCAGTCTGTCCGATCCAGGAGTCAGCAGGATTTTCTAGGAGCCAGCTCCATTGACAACTACTAGAGAACACCTCAAAAGTTAGAAGCCAGCTGCAATTTTTAAGGAGCATTGGCTACCTGGCTCCTGGGATTTCTCCAGCCCTGATCTAAATAGTTCCTGACTTTTTTGATACTACTAGTTTTGCACTTTGTATTTTGCCCAGTAATTGGAAATGTATATGGTATGAATAATCTCAAACTGATAACTATGCAGAACTGAATTCTAAAATAGTTAGTCAGGGTGAAAAACGTATCCAATACCTCGGAGTAAATAAAACCCACTCCGACGGTCTGTGTCATATTTGTACAATAAACAGGTTATTTGCATCTGGTGCGTATCAATGGAGTTCAGGATTAAGGATCATCGAGAGAACAACAATCATTTGTGTCTGTGTGTAACTTGTGTTTACACAGGAAATCCGATTATAAAATTGAGAATAAATTAACATTGCCAGACAACAACATATAATATACTGGGCCTATGATAAGACAGGATAAAACAAATGATTTTATTGGAGTAGATGGTGCTGTTTAATGTCTGGAAAGTTACCAAATGATGGTCATCGGCCTCATCAGAAAAGGGAAATAAGGGAAGCATGGTGATTCCAATTATCCCCCTGATCCAAATGTCATGGTAGCAGCACAGCACAAATGTCCACTTTATATGTAACCACTTCTCACAGCCTCCACCGAGGCACCACAAGACCACTTTGTTTATCTGACTGAACTCTATAGCTGCTGAACTCTTGTGAAGTAAAATTGTCACAGAATTCCACACGTATGACTTAAACCAGACGTTGCCAACTTTAGTTCCAAAGCCGCCTTTCATAAGGCGCTCCATCCACTCACAAACGTCCAATTTGTTGCAGGACAAGTGCAGGTACGGTATTAAGGGGTAATTGCAGATCCCGGTTCAATGGCCGACACACACTTGTCATTATGTATTGCTCCTGGCAGAATAACTACTTGCCTGAAATGGCTGATGGCTACATTCACACGAGCCTCCTGCAAATTGTTCTCCTGCATCTATATGTACTGGCCTTTACCTGAATGTACAGACGTTTACACGTATTGAGATGTGTTCAGAGTATCTAATCTGCTCCTGGACGCACAGAATTCTATCTTCTCCAATGCACCTAAATGCAGGTAAATGTACTGTATCAATGGTACCGTTTAGTCTTCGCGAACGCTTGTGCAACTTCATTTTCATCCTTTTTTAATGCATCATATGCATTTTTGGGCAATAAAAGTGAAATAAAGTATAGGTTGGTAGGGGCTTCTTGCCATGAGCTATAACGCACAAATATGCATGTTACATGTTGAAATCTTTGGGCTAAAAACGCACCAGAAGAAGCACCCGCACCTTTTTAAAAGTTGCACTGCTGCGTAATGCATAGGTGTAAACGGGGCCTCATAATAGGATTCCTTTTTTTATGTGCATTGTCGTAGGACAGCCAAAGCGCTTCAAACTGGGCGAACGGGGACTTAAAATGATCACATGCATTTCTGTGCGTTTAGAAGTGTCCTATAAAATGCATGCATCTCACAGACAGCGTGAATGAGGCCACCTACTGTGTGCCCTCACTTCATCGGAGGTTAACAATGTCATCAACCAGATGCAAGCGGCTAAGAAATTTCTAGACATAGTGAGAATAAACTCAAAGAAGTCATGTTGGGCAAAGATAAGATAAAACATCCCAAACTTGCTGGGACTATTCGGCCGCTCAGCATAAAGTGCATTTCGCCATCCTGGGACAGAATCAATATACATTTGGCCGTGCACAAAAGGATGTCAAGAACATCAAGCGAGAAGGGTGGCCAAAGCAAGGCAATGCTGCAATCAAGCACAAACAAAGGAAGCATCAGCAGCATACTCAGCCACAAGAAGGGATAAACATAAACACAAATGTCTATTTCATGATGCATAGAAACCAATGACGTGTGCTCATACAACCAACATTCAGCCTATAGAAACTGCGATCTGGAGTACCACTATAGGCAGCACATAGCCTGCTACTGGCACACACTTCATTCATGTTGGCTGACCTCACACAATGAGTGTTTGGAAGACAAAGGTCGTCTGATTTTCATAATTTGAACATCACAACCCATAGAGACTGGTGTCTGCAGGCAGCTTCATAAAAGCAATGCTGGTCATGATATTATAACACTCCAGTAGATGGATGTAAAAGCCTGCAGAGCATGTAAAGGTGGAGCTGGGGTGTACAGCAACCCTCCATATGGGTGATCACACACAGCACTTACCTCTCAGTAATAACAGATCCAGTAGGTGTCATTAAAACCCCAAATCCCAGGAAGAATAAAATATATATAAGGATCCTCAGAAAAGTAGAACTTCCCAGCAGTACCCAGGCAGCAGATAGTACAGCTACCAGCAGCAGCAGCAGCAGCAGCCTGGGGATCCAGATAAAGTTACTGCTGGACTGATCCTCCTAATCCAGACACAGTGGACTCCAGTTGTGTTATTTCTTATTCCGGATGATCCACAGATGCAATGAAGGCACAGCTATCTGCCTCCCCCGAAATGTACTCTTCTCTTCAGCATGTCACAGATCAGGGCTGGTACAGCCATCCAAGGCGCATGCAGCTCTCCTCTCCAGCTCCTTTTGCTTTATTTCTCCCTTTCAGCGGAGCCCTAAGGGGGGCAGTTTTTTTTTTGCTTTGTGTTTAAAGATTACCTTTGTCACCCCCACCGCCTGCATAGGAGAGAGACAGCCCAGATGGGAAGAGCCTGCTGCTGAAGCAGTGCCCCATCCTGAAAGCTGATCCCTGCTGATCTCATCACTTACTACTAAGTAATCCAATGGTGGGGGAATTAGGAGCAGATGGAGCCGCCCCTTCTCTGCCTCCTCTTCCAGCATCGCACAATCAGGCGGCGAGCCCACCAGCTGGATGGAAGTGGAAAGAGTTCTCTGGTCCTGGCCATCAGCGTTGTCTTATTATTACTGGGAACGTTGTTATTGTTCATTACAAACTATGTTATTCACAGCTTGGACAAATATTTTTATACATGTGTGATCACTGTCAGCTGAAAATAAATAATAAACCCCGCTGTGCCTAAGGTTCCGTTCACACCAAGGCGTTTTGTCGCTCTAAGCTAAGCGCAACAAAACGCGCAAGATAAGCAATCCCATTCATTTGCTCCGTTCACACCTAGCGTTTTGTAGCGCTTTTTCTGCCCTAAAAGACACGAAGATAAACCACACACGCAAACGCGGAGGAAAAAATGTGGGATGCATGTTCTGCTGGCTATTGCACCCGCCCTCTGTTGCTGTCAGTCAGCAGAGGAGGACCTGATGGAGAACTTCAGGTTCACCTCTGCTGATTGACAGCAGCAGTGGGCAAGTGCAATAGCCAGCTTGCTATTGGCTATTGCAAATTGAAATAGGAAATCGAACACGATTGGGTTTTCTTACAATAACCGACCAGTTGAAGGGAAGCAAACAAGCACAATTACTGTACAGCTGGCCGAATTTCCTCAATCGGTCAGGCTGGAAAACTTTTTCCGATACGTACGAAAATCGGTAGATTGCACATGCGCAAACAAAAATCTGTTCTGTTGATCGATGAAATGCGGTCAGTTAGTATTGCTAACAAATCAAAATCCACATTGGTCTGTACATGATGGAGTATTCGAGCGGAAATCGAACGACGGTTCGATGGAGCCACGAAAAAAATCGAACGATAATTGCAAGGTGTATGGCCAGCTTTGGGCGGGGGATTAGGGCTTGTTTAGGCCCCGTTCATTCACACTTTGCACTGCATTTTTGCGCATTCATGTGCATTTTTGCCTCGACTGCCACACACCTGCCCATTCAATCAATGTGCTGCTGCATACGCAGCATACGCAGCAAAATAGCTCATGCAGTATTTTCAGGTACGAGCATGCCACGATTTTTTCCTGTGCATTTGTGCGCGTCTGACGTGAGGAAAAACACGCATTTTACTGGCAGTGTTTGCGGTGCCATAAACAAGTAATGGCACCACAAGCACATTGCGCGTTTTTAACGTGTTGCGTGAACGCATTCATGCTACATCAAAATCGGGAGCCCCCCTTCACATCAGAACCTCCCTTTTAACATTAGAGTACCCCTTTACATCAGGAGCCCCCTCCTTTCATATTATAGCCCCCCCCCCCCCCGCTAGGACCCTCATTCCGTCACACCGATGATCTGAGATTGTTGTGTGTGGACACGTCCTCTCGTCGTTATATGTGCCGCGCTGTATAATGTCCCCGCATTGTAATTTTGGAATAAAGCTCACCACACATGTTTCAATCTGATTGTACAATCTCTTTTAGATCCAACAAGTATATAGTACAAGGGCCCTCTCTGATTGGATTAAGATTGATTGGATAGTTTAGATAGGTCCTCATATTAAATAGTTTTGGTAGAGCTAAAAAGATTGTATAATCAGATTGGTAAGCGTGTGGTGAGCCACACAGTATTGCGTTACCACCATGTTATCGCACAGTGCCCCTGCAGTACCCCGCAATAGGTGTGTTGCATTGCCATCATTTGAATGCCACCCCAACGCACCCCTGCCAGCAGCAATGCAATGCACCACTGCAACACATGGTACCACAATTTTGTGGGTTGCTTTAAAAGAAAGTGCACGCAAGCAGTGGAGGTAAAGTAATTTAGAAAAGGCTGACAGGTAGGGGTTTTATGACAGAAGAGACTCTGTGGGCTGATTCACACCTAAGTATTGCACTCCTAGCATGCGGTGCCATGCTTGAACTATTATTTCCCAATGCAACACATGGTATTGCGATACTGCACATTGTGCTGTGCTGCAGTGCACAGCTAACGGGAGGTACTTACAGGGGATGGTGAGCATTGAAGTGGCGACTTTTGAAGAAAGCCTCTAGTCCTGGGTCCATGTTTTGCTGTCAACCAGTATCTTGATGGTGCAGCTGTGCACATCCCTTCTGTTAGGAGTCAGACTATAGTTCAGGGATCCAGCCTGGAGGACAAAAGAGGCCTCCACCCACAGAAGTCAGGGTGGGAGCCAGTGTAATAGGGAGCAAGATGGGGTGCTGCAGCACATGGCTGCCGGGACATGAATTGGGGTGCCATTCAAATGGATAGCGACACAACACACCAAGTGCACAGTACCACACACTAGGTGTGCTGTGTGATAGTGTGCTCTAAACACATAGTATCGTGTATTAAGGACAATGCCTAGACGAGAACCAGCCCTGTCTACTGTCTTCATTGCTTCTCCCTGCCTGTCGGTGTTTGTGTGCACTGAGCCACGAATATGCAGCTCAGTGTACAAGCTGTTCAAGGTCCAGTGCCAAGATGAGGTAACAACTGTGTGCATCTCAGGGTGGGAGCTGGTGCAGTAGGGGGCTCCAAGATGGTATACATTGAGATGGAGCTTTGTCTGGAGGATACAGGCAAGCGCCTGGGGATTGAGTCCAGAGCAGCAGTGCTACAAGCCAGGAGGCTAACGAGCGTTTGTTTTGAGAAAAAGTGAAATGCTAAAAAACCCCTGCAAGGGTAATCTTGTGTGTGACCTGAGCTTTACTTTAATAAAGTGGGAAAGGAAAACCCTCAAAAAGAGACATTTTTCAAGTGGATGCATCCCTAAAGTTTGAAGTTAACTCCCACAGTGCCTTATTTCACATATTAACATGCATTGCATTAGGGCAGCTTATTCAAACGGACCGCAACGTAACAAAAATAGGAACCTTTTTTTAACACAGCACAACACATACAATAATGTCCAAAAAGCTGGCTTCACATCTACAGTGGGGCAAAAAAGTATTTGGTCAGCCACCAATTGTGCAAGTTCTCCCACTTAAAAAGATGAGAGAGGCCTGTAATTGGCATCATAGGTAGACCTCAACTATGAGAGGCAAAATGAGAAAACAAATCCAGACAAATCACATTGGCTGATTTGGAACAAATTTATTTGCAAATTATGGTGGAAAATAAGTATTTGGTCACCTACAAAGCAAGAGTTCTGGCTCTCACAGACCTGTACCTTCTTCTTTAATAGTAGTCTATGTCCGCCCTCTCTGTGCAGCAAGTAGCTTCTTCCTTCTGTTCGTTCCTTCCTTCCTTCCTTTGTTCCGAGGCTACTCTAGAGATCACATGACCTTCCTCCAGGAGGCAAGCCTCACTCTGAAACCTTACCCACTGATATCTTACCGGAAAGGTTTACTCAGAGTAAACCTTTCAGGGAGAAAATGTGCGGACGTCAGGGAGCCGCTATCTAATAGCGGGAGACTCCCTGAACATCAGGAAGACTTGAGATCCCTGCATTTTAACTTGCTAGTTGCTTAGGTACAAATCAGTCCTTTACCCAGGCAACATTGGTTTGTCAGGTGATCACTGTATAATGACAGTGATCATCAGCTAGAAGGTAATGTGTTTAAAACTCAGCCACTTTGCTTTGATTATGGTTGTTAATACTGGCTTGGTGACACATAAAAGTGCACTTCTATATGTATGTTTCTTCACATACTCCTGTGCACATTCTTCACATACAGAGCCGCAGTCCTAGGTGATGTATTCCTGGTCTGGAAGACCCCGACCATCAGCATTATTCATACACAGGAGAGATGTTGATGACATTTTGAACTATTACAAGAGTTCCAACACTATGGAAACACAGTCAGGTATTCATACCGAATACCTTTCCTTGACCTTTGACATGGAAATGACCCAGGTCACTAGTGAATAGAACCAAAAGCAAAACAAAGAAAGGAGGATTGCACAGAAATACTGCTGACAAGCTTGTAAAAATCTGGTTATAAACAGCATCAAAATACAGCAATATAGCATAATATGAGCAATCTTCATAAAATACAATGTTACACTGCAATAGCAAACAAACAATGACACTGTTATCAAAAGACAGATATGTTTTACTGGTTGTTTACACAAATCTGTCATCGGTTGAGTAAGAACAGCCGTACACGACCTAACATTCATAGGCCCCATTCACACGAGGTCTTATGCCACATTCTGGGATTCCTGCAGCAAGAACCTACAGTTCCTAAACTGCATGTAATTGTACGATACGATTACATGCAGACTGCTGCTGACACATGTGGCCACCCTGTCATTGATTTGAATAGGCACAGTGGCTGCATCTGAGCAGTGATACTTGGGATTCCAACTGCATGAATCTGAAGGTTCTTGCAGCAGGAGCCACAGAATGCAGTGTTTCTATATGTATCCTTTGGGCTCATGCACACAGGCACAACTATAATGTATAGTCATACAGCGTAAGCCCCGGCTGCTGTGTTTTTGTGTCTATAGGATTGTATAAACAGAAGACGCCAGTATCAGCATTTACATGCGGCGCAATCTGCCAAACATGTAAATTCAGGATCAAATCATACAGTCCTATGGACAGAAAAATGCAGCAACTGGGGCTTCTGGGCACCCCAAACGCAATTGCATTTTACGCTGCATGTTATATGCTTGTATTTGCATCTGTGTGCATCCGTGAGTATTTAAGTGATGAAGTGAGTAAGCAGCAATGCTTATGGTTGGCAGACATGGTGCAGTGCACTGGATGGCACTTGAGGTCACCAAAGCGCAGCACAATGTGCTGCTGTGCAGAGATCTGAATGGAGTGTAGACTGTGTACACTTCCAATAAAGTTAAAAAACAAAACATAAACAATTAAAC